ATAAATATCAGGACTATTGGTTAAACAGGAAGTTGTTTGGAATAAACTGATTTATATGGACCAATGACTTTGAACATGCGCGCGCAGTTTGCAGTTCCTATTCAGTCGAGTATAAGTGAGACTTTCGTTTCTCGATTTGATAAATTGATTTTGAGGTCTGACCCGCAAGAACTTCGGGGGCGTGCTCCATCAAAACGCGGAGTCGGGTGTCAGTTTGGACCTGACATCACCGATGCTTGGCTTTCAAAGAATGGAGTACAATACGTCGTTAGGTAATCTCAAACTAAACTAATGCCGATTTTTTTGCTTGAGTTTACATTGTTTAGGAGCCATGAAGTCAAACCTGAGGGCTATGAAGTACATCACAACGGAAAATGCATCACAGTAAGTAAACCCAATGCGGTTTTAGGGAGCTTTGCAAATGTGATTTGCTTGTTTTCTGTTTATGGCTGTGCGTATTTAGGTATTTTCTGCACCTAACTACTGCGATCAAATGGGTAACAAAGGCGCCTTCATAACGATAACAGGAGATAATTTGACGGCGAGGAACTATACAAATTTATGGGTTTTGTTTCAAGTTCTAATGAATTATAATTTGTTTTTAGCCAAAATTCACCTCATTTGAGGCAGTACCTCACCCAATGGTGCCTCCGATGGTATATGCGAACAGTCTGTTTGGTTTTGCCTGATGAATATAGGAAGTATATGTTTGTTAGAATTTGTTTCGTTGCTGTTACTTGTTTGTTTACGCTCACACAATTCCATAGTTAATTGTGCTGATATCGTTATTAACACGAAATTCTGTCCTCATGCACATGATGAGAATAAGCCTCTAATCATGTCATATATAATCCCGCGTTCCTTCTCCCTTTTTTTCTCTAGATGATTTTCTCCTACTTCTCGTTCAGGGTGTACAGTACCTGCATACCTGAAAGACGAATCGTTTTGGTGTATCACTATAGCATTCGTTATGTTGTTGTTTGGATGAGCGATCTTGTCCAGTGACCTACGCCGACAATTTTGCGAGTGCAATTGCTTGGCTGTAGTCAACTTTTCACGCAGCGGTAGCAGATTTGTTTTATTGTATCTGATCAATCTAATTATTATCCTTATATAAAAGCATAAACATCATGTCAAATGTCTGCTGTTAAGTTCTTGAGGATTTACCTCCGAGGACTTCTTTTAGAGGTGTATTTTGCAGGAATCTAAGACTAACAGAAGAACGTGCGGAGTCGCAGCAATAATTTAACTAACAATGTAATTTATCAAGTGTGCTAAAGAGGTGTTTCTAAAACAGTGTTCTAAATCTCTGAATGATTTTCTGGAGAACTTATGAGCCACGGGAGTCAATCTAGTTGATGATTTTTAGGTCTATAAAGAGGACTGTAGAGAGTTGGAACCCTCCTAGTGTCAGCGCTAATGCATTCTATCAAAAACTTTGTTCTCTGTTCCTAAAGGGCCGTATTGTTCACGCAGTTGAGTGTTTTACTTGATTCATATTTTCTTAATTATTGTTATCCTCTTCTACATCTTGGAATTTTTTTAGAGATGAAATTCAAGTTTGATTCCATTTCTACAGGTGGTAGTAATTTCACAGCTTAACCTTTCTTAAATTTTGTTGAAACTTAGTTCAAGAAGGCTCACCCTTCTCTACCGACTAGTTAGCTTTGGATTCACGACAAGATTCAAGACATAATTTTTAAGTGATGCAAGTCACGTGCCTTTTGGACTAGGTTTCAAGGATAAGGAAGTTCAACGCTGTCATCTGTAAAGTGAGAACAAAACATGTAATTCAAATTGCTCAAAAATTTTAGCAAAATGTTAGCGAATCAGAAAATAACCGTGAATGACGTTTACGAGTCTAGAACGAAGTTCAGATAGAATGTAAAAGCGTAGCGGTAGGATGTTTCCAACGACCAAATACTCGTCTATTACGATAACGATACTACGATATTATACGATACTCTTACATATCGACGTAAAATATTGGACAACACAATGAAATGTGTAGACTTTTTCACGGAATCGTACAGCATCAGCAGATTCAATATAGATTTAAAATTACTTCTTCAAACAAATTCTTGATGTAAACCGTTACTCGAAGTCACTGCGACTCCGCATACTTTCCTTAATGTTTTCCTGCAATATTGTGTT